GCTGACATCTAAAGGCAAGCTGCCTCTAGCCAACTTACCTGTCTCACACTTCAATGCAAAAGTCTTCAGCCTGCTGAAGGAAGACCGGACATACTTAACAGCATTCCTAATGGCAACAATATGAGCATTAGCCTTCTTCAAACCATGTCCAACAATCAGATTGAGGATATGTGCACAGCAACGCATGTGTAAAAATTCACCATCTTTCACTAATGAGTATACTCCTCTCATCCTTAACTGATTCTTAAAAACCTCCAAAGCTTTGTCATTGTTCCTTGCATTATCAACTGTAACAGCATAGACCTTCTCAATTCCCCAATCATCCAAACAATCCATCAACTGGGCTGCAATGGTGTCTCCTTTATGGTCTGTGATCACCTTAAAACTAAGGATTCTCTTCTGTAATTCCCACTCTGTGCTAATCCAATGACCTGTGATCACCATGTAGTTGTAGGAAGTTGTAGGACAAGTCCATATATCTGTTGTCAGAGAAACCCTTTGTTTCTCAACACTAAACAACTGCTTCAAAGCTGCCTTCTCTTCCAAATACATAGCAACAATCTCTGTACTGCATGTCTTTCTAGAAAATGTCTTGTACATAGGCAAGACATTGCTACAGAACCGCTTCCAACCCTCAGATTCTACAAATGAGAATGGCAACTCACTGACTACTACCATCTCATTAACTGATCTCCTAAACATGACCGGATCATACTTCACCAGCTTCATATTTCCATTGTTATCACTACTTAGAATCTTCTGGTTCTCACTTTCTACCCAATCCTTGTACTGTTTGCATCTATTTATGTGACCTATCATCGGACTAGTTCCAACTGTTTTTGTATCACAAGCAATCTCAGCTTTACAGTACTTACAGTAGCTCTTACTGAGATCTTCTTCTCTTTGAATAAAATGCTCCCAAACCGGAGCTCGTTTTGCATACTTCTTCCTTGGTTTAGTTGGCTTATCAGCACCAGAAGCAGGCCGTGGTCGTTTATTCCCAGTTACAGTTTCTGTCTCTCCTGTCTTCTGAGGGTTATGTGGAGGTTCACTCTCGTTTTGCTCTTCAGTCATCTACAAATTATACACAAACATCCCATTAGCTTCAACAAAAGGACAATAAAAGGATCACACAAGGACCACACAAGAACACACAAGGAACAGGACCACAATAGGAGAAAAAACGAAACCCTAATTTTAAAATGTAACCTATATACATGCAAGTCTTAATTTAAAACCACTCGGAGACCATAAACAAATTACACACACCGAACCCTAAATTTCTGGATGAAAACTGGAGTCCAAAACCCTAAATTCTACAAATCGAAGATTTGCATAATGTTAAGAGTTCTGGACACAGTTATTCATCCAGAAATTTAACCAGTCGGAAGCAGAATCAAACGAAGAAGATCGAAAGAAGCAAAGAACTGACCTCTTCGAAATTCTAGGTTGAGTTTATGTGAAAAAGGGTTGCGGATTTGGGATGATGAAGATGAAGTGATGAAGGAGAAGAGACGAGATGTGTTGCAGACGAAGAAGAACAAGAAGAAGAAGAAGAAGAGAAACTGAGAAAGAGACGAGCTCGAGAGGATCGCAGGAGGCGGAGACGAAGAAGAAGATAAGTGAAAAATTAGGGTTAATGACTTAGGTTTAGACTTATATAGGGCTGCCTAAACTACTAAACCGATCGGCCCGATAACCGAACCGACCCGAACCGACTTCCGATTCACCAAATTAATTTCGCCGAACGGTTTGATTTCTCTCTTCGGTTTACGCCGATAACCGAAATTCTCGGTTTAATCGGGTCGGTTTGTTCGGTTTAATCCGAACTCCCAGGCCTAAAAAATATATAATAACCTTATGAACGTGATTCCAAAAGTAACAATTTTGCAAAGAAAAAAGATCATTAAGAAAAAAAAGAATTCGTAATCACAAACTCAAAAAGAAAAAAGAAAAAAAAAACAAGTTAAAATCGTTTTTACATAATTTTGTTTCTAAAAAATTAAGAGATGCATAAAAAAAAATTCATTGCGGCAAAAAAAAAATTATAACCAAGATAAATCGTTTTTATATTCTTTTGTTTTAACAAAAAATAAATAAAGTACAAATCGATTTTTTGGTTTCAGCAACTCAACCTAAGCCTAAACCGCGTCTTAGCCTCGTTGACGGAAGAGAAAGAGTTAAACCTCCCGTTGAAGATGACCAAGGATCTTCTTTTACACACATTCTTTTGCTAGTGGCTCTCATCCTTCTTTCCACATCCTCACCATCTGTGGAGATGAATCTTTTGGCTCAATCCACCAACTTTTGAGGGTTAGAGGATACAAATCCTTTATATATATATATAACCTGATTCGAAGCCAAAGTTTTATTTCGAAGATTTAGAAGCACCATCAAATACATAACTGAGCCATATCTGGATGTGAAGATCATTGTTTGATGGAGGAGCAGCTTTGCAGAACGACACTAAACAAGATTTTTAGTAAAGTAGTCTTTTGTAACTCTTATTGATTTTTCTGAAATTTAGTTTCCCAATCCCTATCTTTTCTTATTGTCAAACTCTTTATCAGTAATCTTTTCTTTAAGAACCACCATTTATGAAAGTTTAACATGAGTTTGCAAATTTTTTTGTGGATGAAAAAAATAATACTCCCTCTATTTCATAATATAAAGCGTTTTCAATAAAGTTTTTTGTTTCACAATATAAATCGTTTTTGAGTTTCAATGTAAATTATATATTACTTTAATATTTTATGATTATTTATATTATACAGTCTCTTTTATAATTGGTTGAACTTTTAAAAAGTAGATATTTTTAATCGGCGTGTTTTTATCTAAAACGATTTATATTATGAAACGGGAGTAGTAAAGTACTTGACAAAAAAAAATGTCAAAAAATGAAAGCCTCCGTCTGAAACGGAAAGAACCACTCTGGTCTAAAAAGTAAAAACCCTATCTTCTTCATTCTAAACCCAAACACAGAGACCTCTCTGCCCAAAAAAAATGGTGCTACTTCTCCGATATCGATCTTTAACGATAAATCTCACTCCTTTAATACCAAAATCTCACAAATTCCACACTCTCCAATCATTTCGTAACCCTAATTTCATCTCTATCCCAAAAATCTCAGCCTCTTCGAACAATCCAGCAACAACAACGAATCGTTCGATCTCCGACGCGGCCAAATTCGCTAAGTCAGTATTATTCATACCTCCTGGTGTAGAGATTGAGGAACTAACAGATGATATGGTTCTTCCGGGCTCCAATATCGTAATCGGACCTTTTGCGGGTCATTCACAAATCAAAGAAGTTGAATTTGTTAAAAGTAGTGCTCGAGCTAGAGATTGTCCTAAAGATGATCGTCCTGAGATTGCGATTTTGGGTCGTTCTAATGTTGGCAAGTCTTCGCTTATCAACTGTTTGGTTCGTAAGAAGGAAGTTGCTCTTACCTCTAAGAAACCTGGTTTGTGTTTCTTACAACTTTGATTAAAAATTGAATATTTAAGTTTTGGAAATCTTAAAGTTTTGATTTTTATTTTTTTTGGTGAAATAGGGAAGACTCAGCTTATAAATCATTTCTTGGTGAATAAGAGTTGGTACATTGTGGATTTGCCTGGTTATGGGTATGTGTTTTGATCTCTTTTATCTAGTTTTCTTGTTTGATATTGAGACTAGGATTTGGCATTTAGGTTAATCGGTTCGGAATTTTTGGAATTTTGGTGTTTATGTTATGCAAAATTCTCACCGAATTAGATGGAATGAAAGTTCGGTTCGGTTTGGTTCAGTTCGTAAGGGACAAATTTTGGTAGGTAAAAAATTGATGCCGAATTAGAATCGAAAACCAAATTCGGTTCGACTTTTTCATCAGAAATAACTTTGGCTAAATTTGGTATATCTGGGTTCATTTTGGTAAAATTTAGGATACAGTTACAGTAATTACGGTTAAATTTAGGATCAAAGTTCGGTATTTTTGGTTTCGTAGTTCCGAAACCAAATGGAACCAGTTACCGAATTTCATCATTCCTCTTGCCAATAGGTTTTCAACCAAATTAGCTAAATTTTGGTTCGGCTTGGTTGGCTTATTCGGTTCTGAACTGGTACATTTTGGATTTGCCTGGTTATTGTTTTTGATGATTTCGGTTCGATTTACCGTAAGAAGAAACAGAACAATGATGTTTGGTTAAATTTGGTATATTAATAGTTACTCCTCTCATGGTTCTACATAGCTTGTTTGGTGCTTTCGGTTTAATTTGGGTAAAATTTCGGTTATTCGGGTTCAGTTTATGATAGTATATTAGTAATTTTACTTAAATTTAGAATAAAATTTTGGTAATATCGGTTAGGTGGTTCCGAACCAAACCGGTTGAGCTGGCTAATTCGGTTTGGAACTGGTACATAGTGGATATGTATTTGATATCTTGCTTTCAGATAAAAGTTCTTGTTTGATGTTGATACTGTATTTGCAGATTTGCTAAAGTTTCAGATGCTGCGAAAACAGATTGGTCTGCGTTTACTAAAGGTTACTTCTTGAATAGGGACACTCTTGTATGTATTCTTCTTCTGATCGATGCAAGTGTTCCTCCTCAGAAGATTGATCTTGATTGTGCTAATTGGCTTGGTCGCAACAATGTATGTGTTAATTTGGCTTTTGTGTGTTCAGTGAAATGATGCTTTGAGGTGTTGTTAATTGTCGATTTTGATGATTTCAGGTACCGATGACTTTTGTGTTTACGAAATGCGATAAAATGAAAGCGGCCAAAGGGAAAAGACCTGATGAGAACATCAAAGCTTTTCAACAAATCATTAGAGAGAATTTCAAAGTACATCCTCCTTGGATTTTGACGAGTAGTGTATCCGGTTTGGGCAGAGACGAGCTTCTTCTTCACATGTCGCAGCTGAGAAACTACTGGGATCAATAGGAATCTTGTAAATTTCGCGAACTAATGTTCGAAAAGGTCGGTTTTAATACATTGGTTATATCAAATGGCAGTTTTGTAATGTAACGGTAACTTTTGTATTCATAGATAAGATCGTAAAATGTTACTACAGTTATATATCTGTGGGAACAATTTCAAGAATTGCCGAAAAACTGGCAAGAATTACAATTAAAGGAAGCTTTTTATCTCGCTACCATCTTGAAAGATTTGCAGGACTAAGAAGAGGGAAAGCTTCCCAAAACCGAGATGATGACGGTGAAAGATCAAACGCGAACGGGTTATCCTTAGCTGTTGTTGTGTCATCAGAAATCTTGACTGGCTTAGCTTCAACTTGATGTACCTCTTGCTCATGGTCATGTGCACCAGTTAGCCTCTGAACCAACTCCTTAAAGTTAACAGGCTCGACTCGGTAAACTTTAGGATGCATCCGCTGAGGCAAACCCGATACGGGTTTTTTCCATGGCTTTGCCGGTTGCTTTCGGGTCGAATGAAGCGAGGAGTGGTAGTTCTGAGAGAAACATGGCTGAGAAGTAGCTTCCATGACGATCAGAAGTTTCTGTAATACACAAATGATTTGAAGCGAAGTGTCTTATCTTGATGGCTTTGTGTGTACATAAGTATTTATATGTGTGTGGACGGCATTATTATATGTTAACGTTTTTGAAGCGTGTGGGTCAAAAGTGTTTTGGGTTTTATGATCTTCTTTTGCGGCTTATTCGGTTTTGACTTTTAAGTGAAATAAATGTGCGTTTTTGGGATCGAGATGGGTTGGTTCATGGAATTGAAATGTCAACGTGGGTGTGCTAACTATTTTTATTTTCTTGTTTATTTAAATGTTAGGTGGAAAAGCAATGAGAAATTTTGGATTAACATGGTTTTTTGTTATATAATAGTATACAATAGAATAATGTTCTCGTAAAGTGATTTATTGTGCATCGTATAGTGTTAATAGTGGAGCATTAATCCATGATGCAAGTCTAACATTGAAGGAGAGCAATGGAGCATCATCAGTTATTTAATTCTCTTGTTTTGTTTTTACCTTTTCTACCTTTCGTTATGATCCTGGAAAAATGTTTAGGTCCACAACTACACAAAATAACAAACAAACAAAACTTTTGCTTCCAAGTGTCAGAGTAAAAGCAATAATGTAAAGAGATATCTTCTTGATAAGTGATGAGACTCAATTATCCACATAGAAAGATATATCCTATCTACAAAACTTGAATACCACTTTCCAATGTTTGCAAACATTTTAGACGTTGTTACATTTACCCTAAAAATTATATATTAAACTTTTCAAAGCTATCAAAATTGTGATCTACATGTTTTTAAGTAAAAGAAAACATTTGTTTTTTTGAAAATCAAATTAATAAGTCTTAAACTAAAAGATAGATTAATCTCGAAATCGCGGGTAAAAGATCGAGTTTTCCCACTTAAAATGGCGAAGAATATATCTAAAAGTGCCGCTAACATTTGAATATGTCGGTTTCTTCCATCCATTAGGAGTTTGACTCGGTCCATGACCTCGGTCTCACCCCCATCTTGAAATACAACACCATCTCCATTGCCTCAAAGACCTTGCTTTCATCCAAAACCTTGTTCCAAACCCCACTCACTACGCAGTAATTGTTATTATACGGTGCTCGGTGATGATTCACATGATGTACCCGTGAAACAAGCAGCCCAATGTCTTGCAACCCCACCACAAGAGGTGGAAGCTTGCTCTTGGTTCCATGAGCCCAAGTATGGAACAGCTGACAAAACAATACGCTAAATGCAAACATGCTTACAAAGCCATGAAACACATGGTCTTCAAATGCAAGGTCTAGTGGGAGAACTATCAAGGTGGTGCCTCGAGCCATAAAATGTAGATTGTTTGCAAATTGCCGTCTGGTTATTGTCCAAGGCCACTTGTGGTGATCTTGAGAATCTTCGATATGGGTTCCTACTAGAGGCGTTGACTCATCACCGTAGTTATCGGTGGCCCAGTGGTACACACCAGAACCTAGATCTGCTAAGAAGTACCCGGCAAAACCGGCTAAAGTTGGTTCGAGCCAGAGATGAGAACCAAACGCTCCAATGATAGATTTTGCAAAAGAGACAAAGACGGTGGTGCAGCCAGCTGCAACCCATAACCGGTGAGTCCATGTAGATTGTAGAGTTGTGTCGTTGGAGAGAGGAGGATTCACAAGTCGTTGCTCAAGAACAAACTTCTCATGGTTAGGCTGAGAGTTGGTGGTGGGAGTAGTAACCAAGCACGTGACACGGAGAAGCGACGGACGGTGGCTTCTTGGGATGTTGTTTGTGATTGGACTTAGAGTGTACTTTGTTTGAAGAGGTATTGCCATTGAAGGAGAGGAAGATATCAAGTTTCTTGTTTTTTTTTTTCCAAAGCTTAAAAACAAGGATATAGGAAGAAAAACAAATCATTTAAAAGAGATAATTTTCGACCCCAAAAATATTAGGGATAATATTGTGGGATAATATTATCCCACATTGGAAAGATCTCTTGTCCTTTCCAATGTGGGATAATATTATCCCTAATAAAAAAAGTAAGAGAGTAAGAGATAATAACATTAGAAGAAAATCTCAAAATTTGGATTAGTTTATGAAGTTACCAACTAAAACCTAACATTAAAAGGTACAATTAAACCCAAAATTGCTCGTTAATCCAGATTTCTATTTTTTTTTAGTTTAGGAATTAAAAAATAACTAAATAAAACATTCACTTGGTACGTAAACTGGGTATTTGATCAAGGAAGATCAAACACCATCAAGGAACCAAATCGCCATAGAAAGAGATGAATGATGAAATTAAAATCACCAAAAGGCATATATAGTTCTTCAAAACCACACACATATTCCATACATTATCTATATGGTTTTTTTTTTCTTTCTTTTTTTTGCCAGCCCATTATCTATGGTTTCTATAATTGAAAGTAAAGTTGAAATTTGATTTGGAAGAAGAATATGAAAGCATTTTTAAGCCAAGATAAATAAGGTCAAGTACCAACAAAGGTGTTTATTACAAACCATAAAATAGAAAATTACAAACACAAAAGGGTTTATGTGTATAACTCACGTCACATATTTCATTACAAACATAAATGTTTCACAAACACTTCGAGAAATTGTGAGAGGTAGTGTTCAACAAGCACTTACGGTAACTACTCTGCGCTTGTTTCCACAAAACTTGTTCGTGAATCAGTAATGTTTGTGAAGCAAAGATATGTCCAATCACCAATCCGCAAAAAAACACCAGGTCCATAGGCTATTGCGGCCGCTATCTAGCTAATCACTTGTTCTTCTAGTTCCGAAAATTCTTTCGGTTGTTAAAGCTGTCAAGCGGGTCAAACCCGCCCCGCAGCGGGTTTCAAAATTTTTGACCCGCAAAAAATCTGCCCCGCAAAATCCGCGGGAGAAAATATTAGACCCGCATCCGCCCCGCTTAATTTTGTAGGAGCCGTTGATAACCTGCGGACTTTTAAAAACTTACTTTTTAAATATTTTTAAATTATATTTAAAACAAAAATATGATTAATAATAATTTTAAATATTAATACACATATTTTTTTAAGAAAATTTTAATTTTTTTAATTATTTTATATATATTACGAATTATTTTAATATTCTACAACTATATATTAGATAAATTTATATACAATTATATATATATATATATATATATATATATTTTTTTTTTTAAAAGCCCGCGGAACCCACGTGTTTACCTGCAATTTATAAAACCAACCCACACCCGCCCCGCAGCGGAGTGGTCGGGGCAGGGCCCGCGGGTTTTCCTCAAATTGACAGGCCTAGTTGTTGTGGTGTAGGATTATGGATATGAGTTTCTCCAAAGATTTTCTCAAAGAATTGGTTTGACCGGAGGATGACGACGTTTAGTGATGGCAGAGAATCCAACAAAGATGGAAACTTGTCTTTGATTTTGTTGCTTTCGACATTCAGAAACTCCATCGCTTTACAACTGATCTGTTTGGAAGTTTTCCCTCCAACTGGTTGCAGCTAACGTCAAGAGTTGGTAGCATTGCCAAACATATCTGGAAGACTTCCACTAAGAGTGTTGTTACGAAGATTTAGCACTAAAAGGGAATTGGTTTAATTCCTTGTGCATGAAGGAATTGAGCTGTTGAGGAGATTGTTGGACAAGTCTAATTAACATACGTAAAGATCTAAGCTTACACATCTGATTTGAAAATTCTTGGAATCCACTCATATCAAGTGGAACCATGGATTCGATGTAATTATTATTGAGGTAGCTAGATAATTCAATAAGTTTTGTTAAATTTGAAAACAAAACAGGAATATTTCTACTGAAGTTGTTTTCGGCAAGGCTCAAGTATCTTAGTTGGGTTAGGTTTCCAATTGTAGCTGGAACTTGACCTACTAATTCATTAGCTGAAATATCAAGCCTAGTGAGACGAAAAAGGTTTCCGATTGAACAAGAAATCTGCCCATAAATATTGCAACTAGTAAGGGATAGGCTTTGAAGATTTTGGAGTTTGAAAAGACTACTATTTGGTTTCAAAGAGATATTAAGAGAAACATAATCAAGACTACTCTTTAATAATTATCAATCATAAAAACGATACCAAAATGTGTTACTTTTGAGTTTTTTTCGTACCTCTTTAAATAACTTTGGTATCGCTCATTGTTTCTTCTATCCGCTAAAAACATTTGTACCGTTTTGACCTTACCAAAAATCTAATCTAACTCCGCATAAATTACTCTTTGGAAAAGAAAATTAAAAAAAAACAATACATCTAATTATTGTTTTCTTTGTCCGGTTTGCCCTACATGCTACAATAATTGTTTCAATCAAAAGCTCTTTAAACTTTTCCCTAAACCAATAAGGCAATAATCATTATATAATTCAAAAAGCTTCTGCAGTATAAACCTTTCAATTCATGGATTATAATAACAAACTCATTATAAAAGCACATCTAAAGAGTTTAAAAAAAACAGCAAAACACAATTTGTTTTTTTTTTAAAACCCTAAAAATCACCAAGGCTCATCAGGATAATCGAACGGTAGAGGTTGAAGAGGGGAAGTCTTCCCTAGATCCGAGTGTACGAAACCATACTTACGCATCACTTGATTATCAGCGAAATTAATGGCTTTGATCATCCCATTCCAACACGTGTCACCATCGTACATCTTGTTATGATCACCACTACAAGGTTGACATCCCGTAAAATGCGTCACGAACGGTCTCCGTTTACTTCCTTTCCCGCCTCTTTCTCCTTTTAAAAACCGTTCCTCACGAAACGCTGCGTATCGTTCACTCACTTTCTCTGCGTGACGTCTACGCAACGTGGCGTCTTCTCGTTCCATCTCCAGATACCGTTCCGTTACGTTGGTTAAACCCGGTACGATCTCTAACCAATATCCTTCGAAATAAAAGTCTCCTTCGAGGTATATTTTGGGATAATACACTTCTCTGTGTTTGTAGAGTAAGTAAATCAGAGCCGTTTGATCGTCTGACTCTGGGAAGAGTTTGTCTTTGAATATTGACCGTTGGATTTGTCCCCATTTAGCATACTCTGGACTCACTGGTCCCATACCTGCAGGAGATAAATCAAACCAAAAGTTAACCAAACCGATTCGAAGTTTAGTTAATTTGATTCTAGTAATTAACAGTGAAAAAGCAGACCGGCAAGAGGAAACATGAAATTGGGCAACCGAATTAACTGAACCGAACCAAATCGAAATTTCGTTGATTTGTGATTCAGATTTAGTTATTGTGTAAAACAAACCAGGAAGAGGAAAAATGAAATTTGGTAGCTGCTTCAGTCAAAAACCACTAAACCGAGTTAAATCAAAGTAAAATTAAACCGACATTACCAAAAAATTTTGTCATCATTTTACCGTAAAGTTTACTGAAAATTAAAGAAATATATCGAAATGCACCAATATAGTTGAAATATATTGTAATTTAACTGAAATTACCAAAGTTTGACATAATTAATGTAAATTTAGTTGAAAATATTGAAATGTACCAAATTTAACTGAACATTTACCTTCAATTGAACGAAAATTTATCTTTTATAAACCAAACCGAGCTAAATTTAATTGAAGTTCAACGGAAATTCTGAAATTTTGACATAATTTACTATAAATTTAATTGAAATATACCATAATGTATGACAATATACCAAAATTTAACCGGAGCCAAACCGAAATTTATAAAAATTTAATCAAAATTATTATTTAAGATAAATATGTGTATAAATGTTATATGATTTTTGATTTAAGAGAGAGATAGGAAGTAGAGTTTAGAGAGAGTTTAGAGAATAGATTTGCTTCTCTTATTTCATCTTCAATTACATTCACAATAGCATCTATATATACACATAATGATGCCTTAATAGAATAGCTAATAATGGCTAATATTAGGGGGTGGCTAATGGGATGAGTGGATAGGTTTGTGTAATGGGATGAGTGGGTAGGTTTGTGTGATGAATAATCACATATTTCATAACACTCCCCCTTGAGTATTCATCACCATAGATGTATGACGTACTACCTCGTTAAAAACCTTCTCATGGAAAAACCCATTGGGATAAAAACCATGACAAGGGAAAAAGAGTACAGTAACACATACTCCCCTTGGAAAAGACTTCATAGGTCTTGTAGATGACGCATTCCAATACTTTGAACATGCTTTCTAAATGTAGAAGTTGGAAGCGCCTTTGTGAATAGATCTGCTGCATTGTCACTTGAACGAATGTACTGAACGTCAACTTCCTTATTCTTCTCGAGTTCTTGAGTGTAGGAGAAGAATCTTGGAGGAATATGTTTTGTCCTGTCGCTCTTGATATAGCCTTCTTTGATTTGAGCAACACATGCAGCATTATCTTCATATAGTCTTGTTGGCTCTCTTTTGATGACTAATCCACTTGCTTCTTGAATATGGTTAGTCATAGATCTAAGCCATACACATTCTCTACACGCTTCATGAAGAGCAATGATCTCTGCGTGATTTGATGAAGTGGCTACTAACGTTTGCTTTTGAGAACGCCACGAGATTGCAGTTCCTCCAATGGTAAAAACATATCCAGTTTGTGATCTAGACTTATGAGGGTCCGATAGATACCCTGCATCTGCAAAACCAACTAGACCAAACTCGGAGTTTCTAGGATAATATAATCCCAAATCAATTGTACCTTAAAGATAGCGGAAGATGTGTTTTATCCCATTCCAATGCCTTCGAATAGGGGATGAATTGTACCTTGCAAGCAAATTAGTAGCAAAAGCAATATTTGGCCTAGTACAATTTGCAAGATACATAAGTCCACCGATAGCACTCATATAAGGTACTTCGGGACCAAGAAATTCTTCGTTATCCTCACAAGGTCGAAATGGATCATTTTCAACGTTTAAAGATCTATTGACCATTGGAGTACTTAAAGGATTCGCTTTATCCATATTAAAGCGTTTTAAAATCCTTTTTGTATAATTGGATTGATGCATAAATATACCTTCTTGAAAGTGCTCAATTTGGAGCCCGAGACAAAATTTTGTCTTTCCAAGATCTTTCATTTCGAACTCTTCTTTCATATGAGTCCGTGCATCATCAATCTCCTTTGGAGTTCCAATTATATTTAGGTCATCAACATATACAGCAATTATCACAAATCCCGATGAAATTTTTTTAATAAATACGCAAGGGCATATCGCATTGGGAGCCTTGTTCTCATTATTAACGGTCTAGCAATAAGTTGTAGCCGTTTAATTAAGGACTCAGCCATGCCATTTTGTATATGAACATGAGGGACCGGATGTTCAACATCAATTCCTAATGACATGCAATAATCATTGAAAACTTGTGAAGTAAACTCACCAGCATTATCAAGTCTTACTTTTTTTATTGTATAATCAGGGAATTGTGCTCTCAACCTGATTATTTGGGTAATGAATTTCGCGAAAGCCGAATTTCGTGTGCTTAATAAACACACATGTGACCATCTGCTGGATGCGTCAATTAATACCATAAAATATCGAAATGGCCCGCACTGTGGGTGAATAGGCCCACATATATCACCATGTATTCTTTCTAAGAATGCTGGAGATTCATTCTCAATTTTCGCTGGTGATGGCCGAGTTATTAACTTTCTTTGAAAACAAGCATTACATAAAAATTCTTTTGATTGAAAAATCTTCTGGTTTTTCAATGGATGACCATTTGAATTTTCCACAATTTTACGCATCATGACTGAACCTGGATGCCCTAAACGTTCATGCCAGATTTTGAACGTATTTGTAAACTTCGGGTTTACAGTAATATATGATTCAATCATATTTATTTTTGTGGAATACATTCTGGAGGATAAATTCTAATATGCATTTCCTCTTCGAAATAACTTTTGTGATGCAAAGATATTCAATGCCATTTTCATTCATAGTTTCTATGTGATATCCATTTCTGCGGATATCACTGAAACTTAACAAATTTCTAAATGATTTAGGGGAATATAATGCATTATTTATTTCAATTTTTGTTCCCCTCGGCATTGAAAAACTGGCTCTTCAGGAGCCCATAATAATCTTCGCATTACCAGATATAGTATTAACGCTTCCGGCGGAATTTTGTATTTTTAGGGAGGAGAAATACTTTTTATCTTTAAGGATTGTGTGCGTTGTAGCACTGTCTGCCAGACATATATCTCCATCCTTCATCTCAAATTTGGACATTTTCTGAATTTATAAATATTCATAAAAAATATGTTAATATATCATAACAAACGATTTATATTACAATAAAACTATTTTACAACAGAGATAAAATACAAAACACACAAAAACAAACATTAAGCTTTTATTTTCTTCTTCAGGAAGATAAACATAACTATCATGTCACACAAACTTCTTCGGGAAGCTTTTTTCATTTTGTTTATCGTTGATGGCTTCAGGATCAACTATAAAATCAGCAATGTCGAGAAATGTATCATCGTTTAAACCATCGAAAGAAGGCCCTGGTTCACCATAAACGAAGTTGGTTTCTTTTTCTTTTTGTGATTTTTGGTACAGATCGGCCAAATGTTTTGGCGTACGACAGGTACGAGACCAATGTCCTTTCATGCCGCATCTGTAACAAGCATTTTCATATTGCTTAATCGCGCGACCATCTTCGTTCCTTTTGAATTTCTTATTGGAGTCATTAGGACCGAATTTTCTTCCGTGTCCACGTCCACGTCCTTGTCCGCGTCCATATCCACCTCGTCCACGATCATTACTTCGATCGCGTTTACGTCCGTAATTGTTATAATTAGATGTTGCAACATTCACTTCCGGGAATGGAGCTGATCCAGGAATTGTGATAAATCAAAATCATCCCCTGAAGAGGATAAGGCAAATGCCATGATATTTTTAACCCACCATATCCATGATGGTTTAAAAGATGAATACATCACAAAGGAAGATCCTGCAGATCTTTGGCAAGCACTCGAAGAAAGGTTTGATCACCAAAAATATGTGATTTTACCAAAAGCAAAACATGAGTGGCTGAACCTCCGGTTTCAAGATTTCAAAAGTGTTGCCGAATATAATTCCGCTTTTTTCGAAATTACTTCCAGGATAATGTTATGTGGAGAAAATATAAGTGACTATGATAGGATTGAAAAAACTCTCCAAACATTTCATCCTGGAAATGTACTTCTGCAACAACAATACCGAGCAAAAGGATACACGAAGTATTCTGAACTAATGCAAGTTCTGTTGGTTGCAGAACAAAATAATGAAATTGTGATGTTAAACCATCAATCCCGCCCGACTGGATCAGCTCCATTCCCGGAAGTGAATGTTGCAACATCTAATTATAACAATTACGGACGTAAACGCGATCGAAGTAATGATCGTGGACGAGGTGGATATGGACGTGGACAAGGACGTGGACGTGGACACGGAAGAAAATTCGGTCCTAATGATTCCAATAAAAAATTCAAAAGGAACGAAGATGGTCGCGCGATTAAGCAATATGAAAATGCTTGTTACAGATGCGGCATGAAAGGACATTGGTCTCGTACCTGTCGTACGCCAAAACATTTGGCCGATCTGTACCAAAAATCACAAAAAGAAAAAGAAACCAACTTCGTTTATGGTGAACCAGGGCCTTCTTTCGATGGTTTAAACAATGATACATTTCTCGACATTGCTGATTTTATAGTTGATCCTGAAGCCATCAACGATAAACAAAATGAAAAAAGCTTCCCGAAGAAGTTTGTGTGACATGATAGTTATGTTTATCTTCCTGAAGAAGAAAATAAAAGCTTAATGTTTGTTTTTGTGTGTTTTGTATTTTATCTCTGTTGTAAAATAGTTTTATTGTAATATAAATCGTTTGTTATGATATATTAACATATTTTTTATGAATATTTATAAATTCAGAAAATGTCCAAATTTGAGATGAAGGATGGAGATATATGTCTGGCAGACAGTGCTACAACGCACACAATCCTTAAAGATAAAAAGTATTTCTCCTCCCTAAAAATACAAAATTCTGCCGGAAGCGTTAATACTATATCTGGTAATGCAAAGATTATTATGGGCTCCTGAAGAGCCAGTTTTTCAATGCCGAGGGGAACAAAAATTGAAATAAATAATGCATTATATTCTCCTAAATCATTTAGAAATTTGTTAAGTTTCAGTGATATCCGCAGAAATGGATATCACATAGAAACTATGAATGAAAATGGCATTGAATATCTTTGCATCACAAAAGTTATTTCGAAGAGGAAATGCATATTAGAAAAGCTACCAGCTTTATCCTCCGGAATGTATTCCACAAAAATAAATATGATTGAATCATATATTACTGTAAACCCGAAGTTTACAAATATGTTCAAAATCTGGCATGAACGTTTAGGGCATCCAGGTTCAGTCATGATGCATAAAATTGTGGAAAATTCAAATGGTCATCCATTGAAAAACCAGAAGATTTTTCAATCAAAAGAATTTTTATGTAATGCTTGTTCTCAAGGAAAGTTAATAACTCGGCCATCACCAGCAAAAATTGGAAATGAATCTCCAGCATTCTTAGAAAGAATACATGGTGATATATGTGGGCCTATTCACCCACAGTGCGGGCCATTTCGATATTTTATGGTATTAATTGACGCATCCAGCAGATGGTCACATGTGTGTTTATTAAGCACACGAAATTCGGCTTTCGCGAAATTCATTACCCAAATAATCAGGTTGAGAGCACAATTCCCTGATTATACAATAAAGAAAGTAAGACTTGATAATGCTGGTGAGTTTACTTCACAAGTTTTCAATGATTATTGCATGTCATTGGGAATTGATGTTGAACATCCGGTCCCTCATGTTCATACACAAAATGGCATGGCTGAGTCCTTAATTAAACGGCTACAACTTATTGCTAGACCGTTAATAATGAGAACAAGGCTCCCAATTTCAGTATGGAGTCATGCAATCTTGCATGCTGCTGCACTAATTCAAATACGGCCAAGTGCATATCATAAATACTCCCCATTACAATTAGGTTCTGGCCAGAAGCCAGATATATCCCATCTCCGCGTTTTTGGATGTGTTGTTTATGTACCTATAGCTCCACCACAAAGAACAAAAATGGGACCACAAAGGAGATTGGGAATATATGTCGGGTTTACATCACCAAGTATAATTCGGTATCTTGAACCGCAAACTGGTGATATGTTTACGGCACGTTTTGCTGATTGCCATTTTAATGAGGGTGAATTCCCAGCATTAGGGGGAGGAATTAAAGAAATTCCAAAAGATATTACATGGTTCACACCATCTTTATTGCACCTTGATCCCCCTACGAAACAACGTGAACTGGAAGTTCAGAAAATTGTACATTTACAAAATTTGGCAAATCAACTACAAGATGCATTCACTGATACAAGAAGGGTGACAAAATCTTATATACCCGCTGCGAATGTTCCATCTAGAATTGATGTTCCCGAAGAACAAACTGATGGAAAAATAAATGAACCTAAAGTTCAGTTGAAAAGGGGGAGACCAATGGGCTCAAAAGATAAAAATCCCCGGAAGAAAAAGAAATTTGGAGAAGTAAATGAGAAGATTCCTGAAGAGTTGGATACAGAGAAAAGTCCTGAAGACGGAAAAAATCCTAAAGACGAAAATAATAAAGAAAACCATGAGATTTCCATCAACTATACCCAAAATAGAAAAATATGGGTTAGAAATGAGATAGATGATGATGATGGAATTTTCTCATTCTCTGTATCTAAAGAAATTGATCATGAAAGTGATGATCCAGATCCAATGTCAATATTGGAATGCCAGAAAAGATCTGATTGGGAGAAGTGGAAAATGGCAATGGAAACTGAATTGAATTCTCTCAATAAAAGAAAAGTTTTTGGACCTATTGTCACAATACCGGAACATGTAAAACTCGTTGGATACAAATGGGTATTTGTTCGAAAAAGGAATGAGAAAAATGAGGTAACAAGATACAAAGCCCGACTTGTTGCCCAAGGATTTTCTCAGAGACCAGGAATTGATTATGAAGAAACATATTCTCCGGTTATGGATGCCATTACATTCAGATTTTTAATGAGCTTAGCGGCTTCCAAAAATCTGGAAATGTATTTAATGGATGTTGTGACAGCATATCTATATGGATCATTAGATAATGATATCTACATAAAAATCCCTGAAGGATTAAAAATGCCTGAAGCATTAAGATCAAAATCTAAAGAAATATGTGCGGTCAAATTACAGCGATCACTTTACGGATTAAAGCAATCCGGACGCATGTGGTATAATCGTTTAAGTGAATATTTATTGAGTAAAGGATATACCAATAATGCGATATGCCCTTGCGTATTTATTAAAAAATTTCCATCGGGATTTGTGATAATTGTTGTATATGTTGATGACCCTAAATATAATTGGAACTCCAAAGGAGATTGATGATGCACGGACTCATATGAAAGAAGAGTTCGAAATGAAAGATCTTGGAAAGACAAAATTTTGTCTCGGGCTCCAAATTGAGCACTTTCAAGAAGGTATATTTATGCATCAATCCAATTATACAAAAAGGATTTTAAAACGCTTTAATATGGATAAAGCGAATCCTTTAAGTACTCCAATGGTCAATAGATCTTTAAACGTTGAAAATGATCCATTTCGACCTTGTGAGGATAACGAAGAATTTCTTGGTCCCGAAGTACCTTATATGAGTGCTATCGGTGGACTTATGTATCTTGCAAATTGTACTAGACCAAATATTGCTTTTGCTACTAATTTGCTTGCAAGGTACAATTCATCCCCTATTCGAAGGCATTGGAATGGGATAAAACACATCTTCCGCTATCTTCAAGGTACAATTGATTTGGGATTATATTACCCTAGAAACTCCGAGTTTGGTCTAGTTGGTTTTGCAGATGCAGGGTATCTATCGGACCCTCATAAGTCTAGATCACAAACTGGATATGTTTTTACCATTGGAGGAACTGCAATCTCGTGGCGTTCTCAAAAGCAAACGTTAGTAGCCACTTCATCAAATCACGCAGAGATCATTGCTCTTCATGAAGCGTGTAGAGAATGTGTATGGCTTAGATCTATGACTAACCATATTCAAGAAGCAAGTGGATTAGTCATCAAAAGAGAGCCAACAAGACTATATGAAGATAATGCTGCATGTGTTGCTCAAATCAAAGAAGGTTATATCAAGAGCGACAGAACAAAACATATTCCTCCAAGATTCTTCTCTTACACTCAAGAACTCGAGAAGAATAAGGAAGTCAACGTTCAGTACATTCGTTCAAGTGACAATGCAGCAGATCTATTCACAAAGGCGCTTCCAACTTCTACATTTAGAAAGCATGTTCAAAGTATTGGAATGCGTCATCTACGAGACCTATGAAGTCTTTTCCAGGGGGAGTATGTGTTACTGTACTCTTTTTCCCTTGTCATGGTTTTTATCCCAATGGGTTTTTCCATAAGAAGGTTTTTAACGAAGCAGTACGTCATACATCTATGGTGATGAATACTCAAGGGGGAGTGTTATGAAATATGTGATTATTCATCACACAAACCTACCCACTCATCCCATTACACAAACCTACCCACTCATCCCATTAGCCACCCCCTAATATTAGCCATTATTAGCTATTCTATTAAGGCATCATTATGTGTATATATAGATGCTATTGTGAATGTAATTGAAGATGAAATAAGAGATGCAAATCTATTCTCTAAACTCTCTTTAAACTCTACTTCCTATCTCTCTCTTAAATCAAAAATCATATAACATTTATACACATATTTATCTTCATAATATTTAGTTATTCATCAGAAATATAGTAGTACCAAACTCTAAAATTCTTACCTTGAACCGAACCAAAATTTGTCGTTAATAAACCCAAAACCGAAATTTCAAAAATATCTTAACCAAACCAGACCATGCCTACTTATTAGGGTTTTGACTGTCCAGAGTCCAACACAGAATATATTAATTCAAATAAAAAAAAATCACAGGGCCCATACCTGTCCACGTGTCAATGAGCTCCATAGACCACTGACAATTCCCCATGTGGAAAACGCCGGCGTTCAACGCCGTCCAACTCCGATCATTGTAAATCACTCCCGGCCAACCATGAACAACAAGATTATGCTCCTTATACCGATGCCACGGCGGCGTAAAATCCATATCCGTAAACAAAGCATCAGAATCAACCCACCAGATCCACTCCGCCTCAGGATGAGCAATCATCGCCGCTTTAACCGCCGGAAGTTTCGCCCAATAAGAATTCATCTTCGGATGAAGAAGAGCGTTACTATAGAATATATCATGACCATGGATCCGACAATAATCAACTTTATTCTTAAAGAACCGTAACAACAAATGATCTCCGATTGGGTTTTTACACGGCGCCGATTGTGATCCTGTTACCATAACCGTACGATTCTCAGCTCCGATGATAAACGAAGGGTGTAGATTTAACCAACGTCTTCGTTTCTCGTCCCAGTTTTTAACCGGTTTTTCGATTGTATAGGTTAGATCCGGCTCGTCGTAGTAAACCGGGTCGGTTGGATCGTACTTCATGTCGATTTCTGGAGAACATTTGGCGGAGGTTTCATTGGTTTTGACGGTGAGATTTGGTGAAATTGAATAGAAGGAGAAGAATGACCAGACGAGGATTAAAGACATGAAAGCTCCGCCGAGGAAGAGAACGACGTCGGAGAAACATATGACCGGTCTTGTTCTTGCTCCGGCGTATTTTGCCATCGGAGATGATTGGAAATGCGATGATCTCTCAGGCGAGACCATTAACAAAATCTTAGAGGTGATACAAATAAAATTCAAAATTTGAGGACTTTGTTGTATAAAGACAATTACTTTTTTTTGTTGTTGTGTTTTTTTAAGTATTAACATAAATGTCCCATTAATTACTCGATTGATATATTACTTTAAGTGTATCAGATTTTTTGTTGTGACGTAATTGTATTTGTGAAAGTAAATGTTGTCAAAAAAATTTGTACTCTGTAGTTTGGTTTTCGTGTTTTGATTGGTAGGTTTATAACTGTAAGAGATAAGGTTTTTATTTCTCAGAGTTTTCATGTGATAGTGTTTTTGTTTTAGTTGAGAAATTTGAACAACGTGAGTGTGATGAACCGGACCGGTTTGTTTCACCGACACTTATGCTAAAATAAAACTGGTGTTGGTTTCTACGTGTCGGTCAGTCGGTGTTCCGGTTAAGCAATGGCATGTGAATTTGCTGCGATAATTTAGGTTGCAGAAGATTACTACTATGTCACCCGCAATTTCGGCTTTTAATGTTGAAAATTGCACTGCTTTAATTTTAGTTTATTTTATTTGAGTTGAGTTTTTTTATAATAGAATGAAATACTATAATTATACTACTATATTGGACCTATATAACCAAAAGAAACTCTAAAAGCTAGTTTAAGAAAATTCTCCTTTATTCTGAATCCCGAGTCATTGAAGACAGTCACGAAGAGCGCATCTTTATGCCCATCACAATTAATGGGAAGGCACAGTATACGAAGTCATTATACAAACATATTCAATTTCGTTAAGATACAAATTTATAGTAGCTTTGTATTCTGTTATATTTGCCTTATTAATATATATGTCAGTTATTCTCCCATTCCATAATCATTTTAAAAAAACTGTAACGTCTCATTCCGAAGATGATAATTAGCCATGCTCGTTACATTGTCCCTCACCAAAGGAGTTCTCATGTTGAAATTGTCTTTTCTATAGTGAACGCTACATTTATAAAATAAAGGGATACTTTCTTTTTTTTGAACAGTAGAAAATCATATATGGAACTCGGATTACTGATTTTTTTTTTTTCAGTCGAACACAATTTCTATTAAGTTATCGGAAATAAACTTTCAGTTAGAAAGCCATTCAAAAATCGACTTGCTTACATGGGAGAAAAGACTATTTCGAATCCAAGTTATTTTGGCTAAATAGTCTAGGGATTTTGTTGAACCATCATAACATGCAATAGAAAAATGGCAAATGATTTACCAAAACAGAGATGTCATTATTGTTTCTATGAGAGAGAATCTTTCAAAAGAAAAAGGTATAAAGTGGTTCCACTACACACACCAATATTAGAGAAAATAACAAATTGTAACTTTTCCCTTTCATAACTCATTCGGTTTAGAATTTTGAAGGAAGTGATAATCGCAAGGTTGAGATAATTTAATCCAAAAATTGTGATACAATTTCTTCTTGGGTTTTTTTTTTTGTATTTGTTCCCTAGTCTTTGCTTCAGCATCTAATATTCATAGAGCACAATCAGCACATAATCAAATCAGGCTTAGACTTTCAGCCAAAGTAATGTTAACCTTTGGTTAAGGGTTTGTCTTCGGTTATTGGACAAAACCGACTGAGATCTCGGTTAACTTGAATTGTACCGGGATTGGTGGCATTTGAGTTTCTAGATGGGTTTTGGATGTGTCTGGGCTCGATTGTAGAAGCTGGCCCAAGTAGATTCTTCTGCGATTTGTAAGACAATTTATCTTCACCAATTGGTGTCTTCTAGTTAAAACTTAAAACTATTAATTAAACATACGAGTTAAAGATGTTTAAGAGTGGATACGTTTGAGACTCATGATTTACAAGTTTATTATAACCGATCCACAAGTTTAAATCATATTTCTTTTAATACATATAAGACTTGAATTCAGATGTAATAACACTGAAACAACAGTCCTCTAAGTTGGCGGCTATCTGTAACTTCTAAAGTAGTCCATAATTATCCGATAGCAGACAAAAAAATATGAGATTCTATTTTCATCTAATCATCCCTCGCTTTCAAATAGACACCCATTATCACAATAACCATCCAAATTGAATCTCACATCGCTCATTCGCTCTATTATCTCATTACACATTATCTTATAAATTTCTCATTTTCATTTCTCTTTTATTTATTTTGTCTAATTATATATTTTACAACTATTTGTTTTATTGATTTATCACAAGAGTCTTCGAACAAGAGAGAGAAAAAAAAGAATCCCACTCTTTGTACTAAAGACATCATCTATCATTTTCTTTTGATCTTGTACAAAAATAAATGGCAAGTTGTAGATCCCGACCACCGTGTGTTGGTACGCTAAGCCGCGGCGAGGTTTCGGAAAACTCTGGTTTTCGGTCTAGACCGCCCGGTTCTTGGGGATGTCCGAAGCAAATGAGACAAAATCATGTGTCTTCTTCGACAAGGCAGCAACGACGAAGCTGGACCAACACCAACAGTGGAGAGAGAAAGAGCCATTCCTATTTTGGAGACTCCGGTGGGGTTGTTGCAGCGGAGGAAGCAGAGTTAGTGGCGGTGCTGAGGGAGGCTCATCCGTACGTGAATTTACATAGAGACAGTAAATTTGTCGTTATGTTGTCGGCTGAGCTACTTGACTCCGGCTCGACCCTCGATGGCATTCTCAAGGTCATTACTATTTACTGCTTTTCACATTATTAGATTCCAAAAAAAGACAAAACGCGTGACTCGTGAGCAAGAAATGGATCACTGAAATAATTTCTAAAATAATATCCTAGTAATAAGGGGCTTTTGCAAAAAGGGAAAATGGTCTATTTCCAGCCCTACTATTCGGACGGTTCCGTTTCCTACCCACACAACGAGTTGATGCTTATTTCAACAGTTTTCGTAACAAATTTTAAATTAACTACACATACTCTGTGTTTATAGTTGAATTCAACATTGACTCAAACGGACGTTAGTCAACCGTTAAAATAGTAGAGTCGGATGACACGGTGACAATTCAAAAGAGGGAAAAGGTCCTATTTTCACCCTTACTATTTGAACGGTTCCTTTTCCTACCCACACAACGAATTGGTGCCCATTTCAACAGTTTTTGGAACAAATTTCAAATTAACCATTTGAAATTTGTGATGACAAAATTATTTTAAGAAGATTTAGCATTAACTACAAAAGTAGTTGGCTTTATATCCATGATTTAGATATAAAATAAATTTAGTCACCTATATAGTTATAAAAGTAATTTTGAAAAAAGAGTAGCTCATTCAAAAATGTAAAGCTACATGCCTACATAGATTTTCATCTAAAATATCAGTTGACAGTGAGTGAATTAATTCATATCTCGGTCCGATATGGAATAACAAAAAATAATAATTGGTCCGCTCTGTTTTTTGATGGTAAAATTGAAAATTTCCTTTAAATATATACAGATCTGTTTTTGATCTGCTAGGTTTTTGAATTATCTTGAATAATTGACATTAGCCATGAACTATATAAGTTATATGAGATCTAATTACCAATTTACCAAGATCTAAATTATGCTTTAAATATATATCATATATACATTGTAATTCAGTGTCACTATATATTAAATCTGAATATAGAGTAGATCTTTGCGAATTATATATAAGACATTTTTTTTTTTTGATAAAGGATTAAGAGATGAATATCTAAAGACTTGATGGTGTTGATATTTTTATTGGTGTTTCATTCTAGTAGAATGTGTTTACTGTTAGTGCTGCTAGATTTATCTTTTATCACCGAAATCTAAATAAAATCCTGAATATAAAGTTGTCATAATTACACAAAACAATGCTGGAAAATCTGTGTTATTGATATAAGACGGGCTACATACATATATATACTAGTTAGGGAACACTAACCCTAATTACATAAATATTAAACCTAATAAAGCCCATAATCAAAGGCCTGATCCGATTCTAATCATAGGCCTGATATCTGTGCATGAGTCGAAACATGTTGCGTTGAAATAGTACCCTTAACAATCTCATCCCGCACAATATGACAATCAACCTCAACATGTTTAGTCCTCTCATGGAATACCGGATTAGCACTAATATGGATCGCAACTTGACTATCACAAAACACGCTCATTGGACGTGTCATCACAACTCCAAGATCAGTCAACAAACCTTTGATCCACAAGAGCTCAGCAGTGAGCATTCCCATAGCTCGATATTCTGCTTAATTTGAAATTTGTTCCAAATACTGTTGAAATAGGCACCAATTCGTTGTGTGGGTAGGAAAAAGAACCGTTCAAATAGTAAGGGTGGAAATAGGACCTTTTCCCTCTTTTGAATTGCCACCGTGTCATCCAACTCTACTATTTTAACGGTTGACTAACGTCCGTTTGAGTCAATGTTGAATTCAACTATAAACAAAGAGTATGGGTAGTTAATTTGAAATTTGTTATGAAAACTGTTGAAATAAGCACCAACTCGTTGTATGAGTAGGAAACGGAACCGTCCAAATAGTAGGAGTGGAAAGAGGCCCTTTTCCCTTTGCAAAAATGCCATTTTTTCAATGCCACTTTTCAAAAATACCCTTTTTTAAAAACATTATAAAAAATGCTCTTAAAAATATAAGATTTACCCAAATATGTATGTAACATTATTAAAACATACACAAACTACATTTCTATGTATCTAAAATCTTATAAATACTTTATAAATACCTTATAAATGCATTTTAAATACCTTTAAAAATCTTTAAAATATCTTGTAAAACCTTTGAAAAACCTTAAAAATCCTTTAAAATAACTTGTAAAACCTTTAAAAACATCTTATAAAACTTTATAAATACTTGGATCGAATCTTCAAGTAGTAGTTACAATCCATAAGTACCTTATAAACCTAATAAAACTTTATAAAAATTTCAGATTTAAAAAGAAGCATTTTTTAAAATAGACATCTAAAAGGAACATTTTTTAAAAGAGGTACACCAAAAAGGATATTTTTAATAATTTCCCTAGTAATAATACAGATAAATAATACTCTATCATGAAAATTTCTGAAATGATTTGGCAAAAGATGCGGAGACTAAGAAACGCTAGAGTTTTTATTTTTATTACTAAATAATATAATCCAATATATAAATGTTTAGTTAACAAAACGCGTTGTTCTCAGTTTCTTACACCGTTATTTTGTAGCGTTTTAAATTATTCTGATATAGTTTACTGTTTTTTCTATCCGCTAAAAAATTTGTATCATTTTGTCTCACCAATCGAATTTCATTATAGTTATATATGCTAGTGTTTTTTAATCATTACTTTTTTTTGGGCATCGTATATTCGTATTATTACTTGAATTATTGTATTTAAAGTAGGAATATTGGGCGAAAAAAAAACAAAGTAGGAATATTGTTGAATTTGACAAAAAAAATATAAACAATAACACGTTTGCAATGCATTTCACAGTGGGCCGTGACGTTAGAGATATTTATTGCCTTTCTTGTCTGGTCCTGAACTCACTATCACTGACAGAGACAAGTGCAAAAATACCGGTACAGGAGTACATAATCAAACCGACGATTTAACCATTTCTTAATTCGATTCAATAACCAACATAAACCGAAATTAAACACACGCGTCCACATTAAGCTCCTTCCTTGAGGAATACTTTTCTTCTTCCTCCACCGATCATCCGCCATTGTTACCCAATTATGCTCTGAATTCCTTCCACGAATTTTGAAATGACGGAGCGAGGAGCTATGGTGGTATCGTCTTCTACCTCTTACCTTCCTTTTCGATGTCCTCAAACAAGAAACGATTTTTCTTTCTTCGCGCCGAGTAAGAAGCTAAACCCTAACCGTCAATTGATAAAGTCTCCGTCTTCTATATCTTCTCCGCCAATGACGCCGGCGAAATGCAATATGTTTGATTACGCGGAAACTGGTGAGAATTTGGTCGGCGATAAGCAATTTGTGCGGTGGTTTCGTGAAGCTTGGCCTTATCTGTGGGCTCATCGTAGCTGTACCTTCGTCGTTACTATCTCCGGCGATGTCTTAGATGGCCCTTATTGTGATCTCGTTTTAAAGGCACTTACTTTTTCTTTATCTCTCAATGATTTGGTTTATGCACGCAAGGTGTTTGATTGTTTGTCTTGCTTTATAATTGAACATGGAATTTGTGTTTCTCTAGTGAGATTCGTCTTATTGATTGCTCATTGATCTTATTGATTCATCTGAAGCTATGTAGCTAGTGTTCAAGAGGAAGCTAGTTTATGATCACTGTGCTTTAGATTTCAATTCTTGTACTTTTTGTACACAGGAATTCAAAGTGAAATCTTTTTGACATGTGTGCAGGACATAGCATTTCTTCATCATCTGGGAATTAAGTTTGTTCTAGTTCCTGGAACTCAAGTGCAAATCGACCAGCTTCTAGCTGAGAGAGGTCAGAATATTAAACTTGCCACTTATCTTCTTATTGGCTTGTCTCGGTATTTGACTGTTTTGAATCTCTCAGTCACTTATAGGTTATCTTCCTATGGATCTATTTAGCCAAATTTATTGCCCGTACCAAGTAATGGTTTGTCATCAGTTAGTGATGTTTGCAACCTTATTGTGATAAATATGAATCTTTGAGCTTGTTCAGATGGAGCCTAAGGTGTGTGAGTTGCAGGACGCGAGCCTACATATGTGGGTCGTTACAGAGTCACAGACTCAGCATCTCTGCAGGCTGCCAAGGAAGCTGCGGGAGCAATATCTGTAATGATTGAGGCCAAACTATCTCCCGGACCTTCCATTTATAATATACGCCGACATGGTGATAGTAGTCGTTTGCATGAAACAGGTGTTAGGGTCGACACTGGTAACTTCTTTGCAGCAAAGGTGAGTTTTTCACTTTCTTGATATGTTAGTTTGAATGTCGATTCTTGTCATGTTCGATCTGATTAATTGTCGTGGCAGAGAAGAGGTGTTGTTGATGGTGTTGATTTTGGAGCAACTGGTTTAGTGAAGAAGATAGATGTAGATCGGATCCGTGAGAGGCTTGATAGTGGTTCTGTAGTTTTATTGAGGAACTTGGGCCATTCCAGCTCCGGCGAAGTCTTAAATTGCAAGTATGCTCTCTTTCTTAGTAATAACTTACTTCCTAAATCTTGCAGACGTTAGTTTTTGTCACCCTGATATTGGGACATTACTTCTACACTGCAGTACCTATGAGGTTGCTACAGCATGTGCTTTAGCTATAGGAGCAGATAAGCTTATTTGCATAATGGATGGTCCAATTCTTGATGAGAATGGACATCTTGTTCGGTTCTTGACTCTTCAGGAAGCAGATACGTTAGTCAGAAAACGGGCACAGCAAAGCGAGATAGCTGCCAATTACGTGAAGGCTGTTGGGGATGGAGGCATAAGTAGTTTTCCTGAACCTCTTGGTTACAATGGGATGGTGACGACTCCCAACAATCATATTGGGAGACCGATTTGGGAAAAACACACTCTGACCTTTCAGAATGGTGTTGGATTTGACAACGGAAATGGGTTGTGGTCTGGGGAGCAAGGTTTTGCTATTGGCGGTGAGGAGAGAATTAGCCGTTTGAATGGATATCTCTCTGAACTGGCTGCAGCAGCGTTCGTTTGCAGAGTGAGTCCTTGAGCTAACCCTCATACCTATTTGTTTACATCCAGTTCTGATTCATTGATTTGTTGAAGGGTGGTGTCAATAGAGTTCACTTATTGGATGGTACTATAAGTGGAGTGCTATTGTTGGAGCTTTTCAAAAGAGATGGAATGGGGACTATGGTGGCAAGGTATACACAACTGTTTTCAGTTCCGAACCATTCAAAGTTTTGATCTTTCTTACAAAACTATGGACCCTTCTTGTCACAGTGATGTATATGAAGGAACCCGGGAGGCGAAAGTGGAAGATCTTGCTGGAATAAGACAAATAATCACACCCTTAGAAGAATCTGGGGCTTTAGTTCGTAGAACTGATGAGGAGGTTCGCCTTTTAGCCGTAGCCTTAGCTTAGATTCTACTTGTTATTGTTTTGGTGTTAGCATCAAAGGATAATTGGTTTTTGGTGTTCAGCTACTGCGAGCTTTGGATTCGTTTGTGGTTGTGGAACGAGAAGGACAGATTATCGCTTGTGCGGCTTTGTTCCCTTTCTTTGAAGACAAATGTGGAGAAGTTGCAGCTATCGCAGTTGCATCAGATTGCCGTGGACAAGGCCAGGGAGATAAATTGCTCGGTATGATCACAAAACTTTTGAGCATTGTGTTTTCGAATCTACAGTTAAGAGAAACCCCGGTTTCTTGACTGTGAAATGTTGCAGATTACATTGAGAAGAAAGCGTCAGCTTTTGGACTCGAGATGCTTTTTCTTCTGACAACGAGAACCGCAGACTGGTTTGTGAGACGTGGGTTTCAGGAATGTCCAATCGAGATGATACCAGAGGCAAGACGGGAAAGAATCAATCTTTCGAGGAGATCAAAGTATTACATGAAGAAGTTGTTGCCAGACAGGAGTGGGATATCTGTTGTTCGAACATTTCAGTATGGTTCTTGAGCGTGTCGATAAGAAGAAGATCCAAACACAGAGCAAACTAAAATGTAATTGACGCAGAAAGATTTATCCGAATCTCTAAGATTCTACTGAGTTTTGAATCAATACGTCTACGGTTTGATCATTGAAAACAAAATAACAAAAATATACAACATGAAGAGAAGACGCAAAGTAAACGATGAGAAAATCTCACAACCTCTGAAATCCAAGAAGCCAAGTAAACGTGAACATATAGTGGAGGACAAAATGCATTTGTAAAAGTTACTTTTTGTAAGGAGTTTCATGAACCGGAACAATTGCCGAAAAGCATTATTGTGCACAAGGTTTATGATATAAAGATGTCAACCTTAATTAGTTTTCTATTTATAAAGAGAAAATAAGAATAAGCTTAAAGAAAAATAGGAAAATCTTCAAGTTAAAAGTTGTAAAGTATCTAGTTTGTATTGTTGATGTATGATTCTAACAGATAAGTTGTGGAATCTTAAGGAAAGTAAGAAAAATATCTTTATCGAAGAGCCGTGACTTGCCAAAATATATACAAGATCGAATAACAAGGCAATTGGCCGAGACCAATCAGATGTAGTAATCGTGAGATGGTTAACCGTGATTGGTCGATTAAAATTCCACGTATGCAGCTTCAGAAACTTATAGCCTCGACTTTTGTAGATTTTTAATTATTAATTTGTATTTTCAATTTTTTTAATACAATAAACATCTACAAACAAGAACAAAACAAAAGAAAGTTACTTTATCCAAAATGACATCGTCATTTACTCATTTTTTAAAAAAATATTATAATTTATTTATTAAAATTCTCCCAAATGAGCTGGACTTATATCTTACAAGCAAAGTTTCAGTTTCAAAAAAGCCCAAAACGGAGAAGCTTGCCGGAACGGAAAAGAAAGATCTGACCCTGCTGATGGACACCTGCAAGGTGGCCGGAGCCTTAAATCCGGCGGACTCAAGATCGCCAGTTTCCCGGCAGATTCGGTGGATCGAAAAACCCTACCGGAAGAGTCCGGTTTCCGACAGAGAAATTTTTCCGCCGACGCACCAGATCCACCTGAAATCTTCTGGAAAGCTAGCCACCGGCGACAGGCGGTTCTTCCGAAGTCGGATCCCGACCGAGCAACCCTATCCACTGGAATCTAACCCCTTCCTTCCCACTACAGATCTCTCTGATTAGACCGAGCATGACCACTGCGACCGGATCGATGGACACCAAACGTGACAGATCCAAACGGTGGTGGTTCATCCAAGCCTCTGGAATCGAACTCCGCGTCAGCCAAGCAGATCCAGAGAATCCGCCGTTAACCACCGCATCAAACAGCATAACCCACCTTCTTGCCACCAACTTCCGCCATAACCGCTGCCACAAGAAAGACGGTTGAGCCTTGAGGATTTTCGAAGCACTCCACGATGTCCTCAACCGGGAACCACGGCTTCAAAACACCTCCTCCGTCGAACCAGAGTTTCGACTACATCGGCGGCGAGATCCACACCGCTGCTGACGGAGCAGTGCCTCTGCTCACTCCTGAAACTCAATCAAGAAGACGCAGCACCAACGATGAAGATCAGACCAGGTCAAAAACGATTAGATCTATTTTTTGTCTTCAAGGAGAGAGAATGGAGAGAAGCGGCCGCTCATTTAACACGTTGATTCACCTAATCCATCACTAAATATCTATTTCACCTAATCAGTCTCCAAGCCCATCACATAGGGGTGTTTCAGTGAAGCAGATTTCAGGGATCGATTTTTGTTGTTGGGATCTAGGATTTAGAGGGAGTCTTGGATCGATTTTTGTTGTTGGGATCTAGGATTTGGTGAATCATAAAACCACTTTTGAATGCGATTTGTGTTAAGAATCAAAGATTGTTCATTCCGCTGTGTATTGTTTTGCATGATATGATTTGTGTTTGTGAATCTTGAAAGGATAATTGCAAGAAAGCTTGAATTGAAAAATTGGATAAAAAAGGGGGAGATTGTAAGTGCACCATTTGCCAAGATTTCTGAAAGGTGCACCTGTTGCTGGAACAAGCTAGAAGCTGTTTCAAAATGCATAATTGATGACTAAGCAATTAGTGCTGAAGTGGACTATAGCGCCAAATGAAGGGATGACGTGGAGAACACAACATAATGAATTATGTTTGGAAAGAAGATATTCTTGTGAAGATTTGGAAAAATCCAAGATCGTGAAGACTAAACCTAGAAGATCCGAAGACCTTATGGATATAAAAGAGGTGCTAAGGATTTTGCTAGGGTTAGCCGTTTTGAGAGTGAAAGCTTTTTCATTTTGTAAGAGAGTAAGGTTTATTTTGATTCGGATACAAGAGAGATTAGCGAGTGTGTTCTTGTGATCTTTTCTTGTGTGTCTTAGAAATTTCAGGTGACAAGCTAAAGTAGTTTAGGTCTTGTGTAAAACCAGTTAAAAGAGTTGTACCTTCTTAATAAAATTTCTAATAAAGTGATACTCAATGTTTCTAAGTTTGGGAAAAAAATAGTCTTGAATTCATCCGGATTTTCAAGAGAGACGTGATCATGGGTCATAATGACGCTTAATCTTGGGGATTTGATTAGAGCCTTTGGTTGCAAGGGGGATGTAGACATGAGTTTGTTGATCAGTACCTTTGGACGTCTAAGATAACCATGGATGAATGTAGGGTCAGGATCTCCATGAAATAATTCACAAGTGACTCTTGATGATGAAGAATAGACATTTTTAGATGGGGAAATGTTCTTTATGACAATTATTTCTTCCACTTTTTGTGATCTCGTGGGTTGTCTTTTTTTTTTATACTTCGAAATTATCTAAAGACTTCACCTTATCACAACAATCCCACATAATATGTTGTTGGTGTTTATTTTATATAAACATGTTTATTTACATAAACGTTTGTATTTATGTAAATACCCTTTTACTTGTACAAATTTCATCACGTCTCTAGATTACGTTTATACCGATACACCGGTTGAGATAAGAGAATCATCTCTTGGATCAAACATCGCTTCATTAATATATAAGAGACGTAACGATGTAGAGATAGGGGGACATGGAGACAAGAGAGAAGAACAATACAAGAGAAACAAAGGAGAGAAAGATTGGGATTGATTATCATCTTCTTCTTCTCCAAATCAATTTCAGAGAATCTCAAAGTAGAGTTTGCTAGGGTCTTTGTATGGTGTTAAAACAGAGATCGATAGTTGTATCCTAAAGATAGAAGCCTACAAAAAGCTACGTACACCACAGTAGGGGCTAAATTCTGTCTTAGGAGCTTGTTAATTGCAAGCCTCTATCAATCTATACGTTGTTCTTACTAGGAAGAGAAGAGATCGTAAAGTAAGTTTCAGTTCTGTAACAATTGTTTTTCCTATTTGTTACTTATTCTATAAACAAACGTATTTGTTTATGTGTATTGATCTACATCTATAATCTTCGTTCAACATATGTATAAATACTTGTATCTCCATGTTAATAAACTTAAATTTTATCTCTTCTATGCTATTCGGATGCTCTAACATTGTAATATGTTTTTTTCGGTTTTCGTTTATATTTTAGAATTACCCATTTGTAAATATATTTTTTGATTAATAAATTCAATATTTGAATGAAAATTATTTTTTCTTTTTTTTTACACGGTTGACAAAAACTGAAAAACTACGCAATAAGTTATTATACGAAACGATGGAAGTTAAATGAAAAAAAGTAAGATAAAGACATAACATAATTGAAGGTCGCAAAAGAGATGTACTTACTATTTACCTTATCAATATTCATTTTTTACATCTTTAAATCGACAATGTCCGATCTATAATCAATTTCTACTACGCATGGTAACGGGAGCTAGTAGAATCGAACTCCAATAGAAAAAGTTGCATAGATGAGCCGTTAATTATTGGACCAAAAACACTTCCCCACCAGGGAGCCAAGATTTTATTTTACCCAGGTCAAAACATAATTAAAAAAATTATCATTAATACTACAAAAATCCAACAAAAAGTTCGTCCCAAACAAAAAAAACATCCAACAAAAGGTTCATCCAAAAAATAAAAAACGTCTACAAAAACATCCTACGATCCTTCATATCCTGAAATTTTTTTCATCACAGTCTCATTTGTTTCTAAATTCTAATTTAAAGTAAATGAAAAGTCACGTTCTCTTTAATTCAACTCAAATTGTTGGCAAAGTATAATAACTAGGTTAAAGATATGGGCCAACTTTGTTTCTTAATTCTAATTTTTGGTCAAAAAAAAAAAAAAACCTTCTTTTATTATGGGCTATTGGGCTTCCTACGTAACAAAATTTGGGGGGTCAAATTATTAAGATTATGTCATTAAATCAAATTGAGCGGATACTTATATGCAAAACCTATATATATATATACTTAAGAAATTTTAAAAAATTGGGCTGGTGAGCTGACCACCATTAATACAAGTGGGTCCGCCCTTGTTCCCCACCCTCTCAATATAAATAGTAGATTTTAATTTTATATGGACACGATATATACATAAAGAGTAAGTGAGTAAAATAAATGATATTGATCGAAAAATAGAATTGGAAATACAATAAAAAAAACCCTTTATAAATTAATACTGTTGAAATATATTTTCTCTGTTCTTTTATAAGTGATGTTTTAAGCTTGAATTTTGTTCTTAAATAGATGATGTTTTCAATTTTCAATGCAAAATTAATTACATTTTTATTGGTTTTGACGATTTCTATTATGTAGATTATTTTTTTTATTGTTTGATTAGATAATAAATGATGTTTTAGTTTAGAAATAAACAAAAATTAAATGATTTATTAATCTATGTGCATTCTCTTAAAACAATATTTATAAAAAAACGGAAGAAGTATTGATTTATCGAGATATAAATTTGTCGTATTAAACCTTTATAAATTTATACTGTATATGGTCCTACCCCTACATGTATTCAACAAAACGCCATCAAACCTCTATTATCGGTAATATATGTATATTTTATATAAAGTCATTGAGTAGTGACCTCGCATTTCACAAAACCTCTATGATTGGTAATTATTATAATGATCCTTGTTTTCTAAGAGGACTCAATCTTTAGAAACTAAGAGAGAATGAAATTAAAACTAAAATTGCTGCTTCTGCTTCTGTTTATCTTGAACCATCATGTTGATTCTGG